TGATTTGGTTTTTGCAGCTTTCCTTTCCATGGACAAAATACTACTCTTCATAAATTCTCCTGAAATGGAGAAAACTACATTAAAAAATATCCTGCCTATCTTTGATTTACATTGCTAACAAAATGTCTTACAGTATTTGTTACTAGTCGACTTTTTCCTCTTATTACCTGTCCAAGTGATAACTGAGCTTATCATACCCTGAGAATTGATTATTCCTTCCATGCCATGCTATGATCTCTTTAAAATTACTCATTTTAGATATGGGGATTCCAGTATGCCTTGCATATAAACTTCTTAAATCTGGAAACTGCAATTGTTTGTTATATAGTTATAAATCACTACTAAACTAAGACTACACATTTTACTTTGTTTTTTTCCTGCATTAAACTTAGATTTGAAAAGTTTTAACAATAATCCAGGAACAACTGGCCATTTATAGAATGAGAATTCAATTCAGTTCCTTCAATTGCTAAATAATATATATATATATATATATATATATATATATAGTCAAATACATTATAAAGTTTTAATATTAAAGTAAATCATTCATACTGGATATAAACTTCATGTAACAGTTTTCAAAGTTGGAATTACAATGAATGCATTTAATAAATAGCTTTATATTAAACCTTTATTTCTTAATTTTATTTGTATTAATGTCTGAAATTACAGTTTACCTTAAGGCTAATTATTCTTTCCATACTCTTTCACAACATTTGACGTATTAAATAATTAGGACTATATATTTTTTTCTAAAAGCTTATAAGTTTAAGTAAGACTGGTATCCTCTATAACTCAGTTATATATACATATAATTTAAATTTGTTATTAGATGTAGTCACAAAACTATTTTTAGTATAATAGCTATAGCTTCCCAAATGATCTGAGTTTCAAAATTCTAGATAAGGAGTAAAACTTGAAGGTAAGCTAAATGTGATACAAAGATTAAATTATATAATAATCACTGATAAAGCATTGGAAATATAATTTTTGAATCTATAGTATGACTCATTAAAATATTTTAATCTCAATTTACTTATGAAGCCCAGTTCATATACAGATAATTTATATTAATATGTACATATATTGGCTGTGGCAAAATATTACACATTAGTTTCTAAAGGTTTTTTGATGAGTACATGAAGAGATATAGAAATATCATACATTTTAAAAATTATTATTTTTTTTAAAGGTTTATTTATTTGTGCATACAGAACTGGGTTACAGGCCAGAGGCTCAGGGGCGGTGAGAGGCTTCACCAGAGACAGAGTGGGGAGCAGAACAGGCCGATCCATGAAGCACACTGCTGAGGGGAGCAGTGGGCGGGTCAGGAGAGGTCTGCCACGCCATGTGATCACTTCCGGGGCAAACAGGAATTGAACTCATGAGGAAGTGGCTTTAGCTTCTCAGTGCTGTGCTTTAACAGGTTGCACCACTAGGGAGGGCCTAAAAATGATTTCTATGCATTTTTGCCTAAAACTTTAAGTCACAAAATGCTGTAATGGGTAGCAAAATATTCCAACTGACTGTACTTAATGAATTTACTAGTAACAGTATCATATCTAGGTTTTCCATAATAGTAACTGCTTATGCTTCTGGAGTGTAAAACAAATTATTGCTAATATGTCAGTTTTCCTCAATTATCAATTAATTATTTCTCTTGTATTGTCAAACCATGTACTACTACCCATAGTTCTACTAAAATAAACAGGGATGGGTTTTATTGTCACCATTTTGTACTTTTCATTGTTTTTCGAGGGATGTGACAGATACATAAAGAGTAAATTATTTTAACATAAAAGGTGACTAGGTGATAATCTACCTCTCTTTTCTGGATCCTTTCCACATACAGAGTATATCATATCTCTTATTTCAGAACAGCTTGCGGGGTATTGAAGAGTCAAACAGGCATAACTTACAGACAATGTCTTTTCTCAATAGAAGGATCTGATGATGTCCGATAACATTGTGAGATGGGTGTGCTGTGTTGTGTGCTGCACACAAGCTGCCTGTTGTAAGATGGGTCAATGGGAATCACAGGAAATTATCTCCAATTTAGGTGAATAACAAATTGAGGTTAAGCAGCTTAGTCACCAGTTTTATAAAGATCTATCCCTATGTTCTAACTGTAGCGGTTGTCATTTATTGCGCGGAATAAAAGAAGGTTGGTAAATGATAGCTTACATAATCTTTTAGCTATTCTTCTTAGTATAAATTTTACTGAAACATTGCCATACGTGTGCATTTATTTGTGGTCTACAATTGCTTTCCCACTACAATAGCAGAGTTAAGTTATTGTGATAGAGATCATATGACAAAGTATATCTGAAATACTTATTATTTGACACTTTATCAAAAAAAACAAATATCCTTATATAAATCTACAAGTACTTGCATTTTATGTGAATGATGTCTATTTATATTAAAAAAAACAACTATTTAATATGAAATAAGACCAAAATAAGTAACTTACATTTTAATACAAATATCTCAATTTTATGTTTGCTATTATTATATGTTATTATATATAACTCTGGAAAATATATCTTTTCATATAGCTCAAATGTCCATTCCAAAAATATTTCCCTTATTTCTATTGCATATTTCCCTAGACATACAAAGTGTAAAGTGACAGTTACTTTTAACATTTGTGTTTCTGCAAGAGATAGAATAGATTCAAATACAGTAAAATGATATCAACTTGATGTGAGTAAAATCAGAGACTTCAAATAATCAGTAATTTAATAATAATTTGAGTTTTCCACCGAAGTCCTTGAATGAAAAGGTAAAATATCTGAAAAAAAATCAGGCAACCTAATGGAAACTTAGTAAAAATGTTTGAAGTTATATGTCCTTGTAGAACAAAAATTTATTTTAGGTATATAATGCTATTGATAAGTACATATGTATTATTTTTAATTAAACTGAGAAAAGTATGAAACAGTTATGTCCTTGGAACTTACCGTGCTGTACACATAATTTATAGTTTGATTCAAATTAGTTCTGCTATACACCCCAAAATATCAGTATCTATTTTAAAAATTATGACAAATTTTAAATATCCACAAAACTACAGTATTCATTTTTTACGGTATAGCTGATATTGAAATGAAAGTGTAATGAGACGGAATGTGTTTGTCTTGTATTCTACTAAGATTTTGATTTCAGAAATATTTAAGCCTTTGAACAATACCTTTAAAAACAAGTGTAAGATTCTCAGGTAGGTTTTGATAGTTCAGTGAAACAATCCTCTAAATTCTGGTTTTATCTTGTTTAAATTTATGTATACATTTAATCAAAAAATAATATGGTAAGTTCCTAAGAAATTAGTTTTTAAAATAGTATTGAAGTTGCACTTACTTATAAGTAATTTAAATTGTGTTTCTACAAAATGTAATGAAGACACTTAATGTCAAATATATATGTATATAAAATATATAAGGTTTTATGTATTATAACTGTATTTTAGAATAAGTACAGAATTGAGGGAAGTAACATTTGAAGGATATTAATTCAAGGTTGTTTTTCTGCTAAAATATAATAGATATAAATTGAGAAGGCCTATGATTATGTGGTGATCTTTTTATGAAAATATCATTTTGAATGTCATCAAATAAAATAATTCTGAGTAAGTTAAAATTATGGCTCCAGTAGGGGAAAAAAAATGACCTACACATTTTATACAAAGTATAGAATTAAATATACTTGCCATTTGGAAGCTTTTTTTTCTTTGATATTAGCAGGAAACTCAAAAGTGCTCCTTGAAAATGTCCTTATTTAAGCAAGGCATTGTTAAGCGAGAAGTCAAGTGAAGCTATTAATAATTTCAAATTTACTAATCACAAATACAATTTTGAAGAATATTATAATTTTATGAAAATTTAACATAGGGCTACTGTGGAAAAAAGAAATCTCAGAAAAATAGCCATACAATATTAGAGACAAATATGGCTAAATATAGTTTCTGCTTAATTTACTGTGTCATGCTGAAATGATCAAATCTCTGATTTGCAGATATCTAACTACAATTACTATCTTTGGGGAAAAAAGTAAGTTTTATTAAAAATAAATTTTGAATAGGACTACTTTAAATGCCTGTTTTTTTAATGTTACTAACTTGCCAGTCACAAAATATGTAATTGTAACTTTTCTTTTGCTAACTCTTTTGCTCAAAATGGTTTTGAAAATAAATTATATGGTCAATATAAATATTCTGGATATGATGATATATTGTACACATCTTGAATTAATAATCTATATCAAAATGAGGAAGCAAAATGAGTTCTTTGACGAGAATCTGAGTTCTTAATCTTGCATTACTAACCGCCTCTTTATGTAGCAGTAACTGATCTACTCTACCAAAATATCTAAAGTCCCTCAATTCACTCAGGAGGATATTCGGAGATTTCTGAATGTTCTCTGTAATTTTTTGACACATGCATATTGTGTTCACTCTCATAAAAGGAGTCTTTGGGTGTTTCATTATGACTAGAAGCAATACTTCTATAGTCATTTTGAGAAGACAAAGGTACATTTTCAGCAAATGGAAAGTAGAAAAGAGTCCAATGATGGAACTGGTTTAAAAACATTTTCAATCATTAAACATTTAATTCACTTTAAGAAACTATGTTTTTAAACAATAATTGTATTTACATCTTTAAATTAATGTAGAATTAAGGAAGTAAGCTATTTGAATGATATAAATTATGCATAGACTTGTGCACTATTTCTATGACAGAAGATTGGTGCTTTGATGTTTGATGAGGTATTAAATAACACACATATATTTTACCATGGTGAAAAACTTGTCAACTGTGACAAACTCTTTATGCTATGGACTACTATTTAGTAAAATAATCAGTTAAAGGTTAAACAAATTGATTAATAAATTTATCTTTAAAAATATGATGTTATTGAACTTTCAAAATTATATTTTAACTAATAAACACTGTAAATTAAACAAAACTGAAAATATAATTTTGCATATATATGTATACCTTTTAACTGAAAGTTGTTCATCACGTTCACAAATGAAACTATTTGTAGTAATACAGCTGCAGTTTCCATGGAAATAGATATATGGTTGATAATTTCTGAACAATATATACCCATGAAAATGAAATAAAGTAAAGTATAATGTCTCAAACAGTTTAACATTATACTAGTTTAACATGCATTATATGAAAAGTTAATTGCAATAAAATTCTGCTGATTCTTTAATAATGAATGTCAGGATTCTGACCATATGTGATTTTAAGATTTATTTATTTTGTGCATACAGAACTGGGGTACAGGCCATAGGCTCAGGGGCGGTGAGAAGCTTCACCAGAGACAGAGTGGGGAGCAGAACAGGCAGATCAATGAAGTACACTGCTGAGGGGGGCAGCGGATGGGTCAGGAGAAGTCTGCCACACCATGTGGTCACCTCCGGGGCAGGCGGGAATCGAACTCATACGGAAGCGGCTTTAGATTCTCAGTGCTGTGCTTTAACCTGCTGCGCCACCAGGGAGGGCCCATACGTGATTTTAATTGAGAAATACCCCATGATGATATATATAGAGAAATAAAAATAAAAACTTAGCACTGATTTCAAAATGTATTAAAGTCTTGATGTAAGAAATAAGACCAAAAAATATATAAGGATAATATGGTTTCTATGTAATTTGACACCAATCTTAGATGTGTGTTGAAGACATGTTCCAATGGCAAGAGGAAAAAAAGTAAATATAAACAAATGGGCCTTTATGAAATTAACAATCTCTGTACAGTGAAATAAACTTATCAAAAGCAAAAGATATCCTTGCAAATGAGAGGAAATATTTGCACATAATATAAACAAGGAGTTAACATAAAAATATACAAAGAACTCATAAAACTCTACAATAAAAATGAAATAACTCATTTAAAAAACGGGGCAGAGGATCTTAGTATATCTTCAAAGATCTACTTCTTAAGAAGAAATGCAAATAGCTAGAAGGAACATGAAAAGATATTCATCATATCTCACTGTTAGAGAAATGCAAAAACTTTACAATTATCACATCTGTAGCTCATTTCCCCCTTTGTCTCTCATAATGAAAAATATACTATAAATCTGTTATACTTTACTGCAAGCTAAGTGGAGCATTTTCCTTTGTTAGGTCATCATTGTTTTCCCTGTTTCTCTTATAACCTTACATGTCATGTCTCAGGAACTCCCATTAAAAGAAACTAATATATTTCATATTTATATATATATATATATATATATATAACTCATATATATTCATATAGTTCATATATATATTCATATAGCTCATATATTTGACAATGTTTTTCTTTACTTTTCTCTGATGCAAATTAGCAAGTAAACTTTCAATTGATATAGTTTAGTTTCTCTTAAATACTAAATTTGACCTCAGATGGTATAATTTACATTGCTTTTAGACTAACTTCTGCTCTGTCTCATTACCAACTATTTTTTTACAACCCTTCTTCTAAATAGTCCACTGGAAAAGTAATTGACACAATAGGTTAGGTCAACAAAATGGCAAGTTACAAAATCAACATACAAAAATCAGTTGTTTTCCTGTATGCAAACAATGAACAGATATTAAGAGAATGATCCCATTTACCATTACACAAAAATCAAATGCTCAAGAGTGAATTCAACAAAGGAAGTGAAAGACCTAAACAAGGAGACATTGTTGGAAGAAGTATAAGACACAATGACATGGAGCTAGCTTCTAGTCAAGGATGAGATGAATAAGCTTGTCAAAATGGTCATCATCAACTAGAAGTAATACATGGACTCAATGCAATCCACATCAAATTTTAATGTCATCCTTCAAAGAAATTGAACAAACATATCATTGTGATACAATGTGTTCCAACACTCAGCCACTGAGAATTAACAGTATATTCCTTTTAGTTTGAAGTAAAAAAGTGACTGCTTTTCAGTTGCATTTTGCAGATTGAATGCTGCTTCAGAAACTTTTCATCAAATTTCTTTCTTTAAAAAAATATTTATTTATGCATACAAAACTGGGGTACAGGGGCAGTGAGTGGGCTCACCAGAGATAGAGTAAGGAATAGAACAGGCAGACTGATGAAATACATTGCTAAGGGGCACAGCGGGTAAGACAGGAGAGGTCTGCCTTGCCATGTGGATCATCTCCAGGGCCAGGGTTCGAACTCATGCTAGGCTGCGGCTAGCTTGCAGTGCTTCGTCCTGTGCTTGCAGGTGCTTGTGTCACCTGGGACAGCCCCATCAAAGTTTAAATCTGGAGATTGAAGAATTGGTTCAGCAAAAATTACAATAATGTTTCCTAACTGAATTTGCAAAGGACAAATCTGACGAGCAACTTGATTGCCTGAAGGATTAATTTTCAGTATTTACTTCCCCAAACCAGCAATCTCCATACATGTCCAGACAGATGTTTTCTGTGAGTGTCCAATTAACCACATATGAGGTTTGTACATGTCATTCTTCCACCAGTTGCTATTTCCATTTATAAACATGTTTTTTAAAATCAACATTCTCAGGAGCATAATTAAGTCATTAGTCATCTTTGGCAATTGTATTCTTACAGTCAATTGTGAAAATTTCAAATATAATTGTTGCAAAATAGTCTTCACTGTTGCTGGGAATTTCCAAGCAGAAATTTCTTTTAGGATTTTTTTGTTACTGGTATTTGTTCCTTTTCCCAAAGAGCAAGTATATTGGATGACAGAATTTTGATCAAAAATATATTTCAATTACTTGAAATATCCCTTTAAACAGAAAAAAA